AACTCCCAAATTCTCTATCTCGAGCCCTTTTCGCGACCCCCCCCTCCCCGCCGTCCCGAACATTAAGAGCGTAGGTCGAGCCGTTGAGATTTGTGACGCAATTCCGTATTTCCTCCTATACCTTAAGTTAAGGGGGAAATATTTCCCCTCCATTGCCACATCTTGACCTTTGACCCTTGACCCCCCAAATTCGACATCCCGAGTCCTTTTCACGACCCCCCCCCCGATGTGCCGAATATCGTGACCGTACGTCGAGCGGTTAAGATTTGTGCCCAACTGTTGACGGACGGACGCACGGACGGACGGACGGACGGTCGGACGGACGATCGTGCGATTCTACAAGCTGCATCTGACTATGTCAGATGAGCTAAAAACCGACAATAATTCATTGGCATTGCTACAACTTTCGCCTCTCACACGTTCTGTTACTACAGGAGTATGTTAGACCAAGATTCCTATCTATAATCAAGCATGATCGCGTATGAAAAGTAAACCATTGGTAATAAATTAACCACTAATTTGTGTGAAGTACAAATAGATCAATAAATTATTAACACGTAGCAGTATCAGCGAGATCCTACACTATTCTGTGTAATTAGTTCAACACAGTCAGTCGAGTGCATATTGGGTAATAAATGCAAACGCAGAGCGCAGTTTCAATGAAAAGCGAATCTATCGATCTTGTTACAGCCCTTGGCAGTGACTTGCACGTATTAATAATACATCATTAATTTGCTACAATCAATAAGAATTGTTCCTAATCCCCAACCCCGATGGCAATGCGTCCGCTGACTGTCAGTAGCGATGTATAATTAATTAACAAGCAGTACTTTTTGCAGAGAACAGGGAGCTTGGATTGCTAGGCTGCTAGCTGCTAAAGACCTTATAGAAGTAGTGCTGATGAACATGCTACATGATTAGTCATGACTAGTGTTGTTCGTGTCTAAAAATTTTGAAATTATGCATTCCACATAAATGAAAAATGCTTACGGTAAAATATTGGAGAAACAGCGTGGGCCAACAAACAGTTATGTAATACTCTGGCAAACATAATGGGATGGGATAGACAGGAATGAGGTAATGTAAGATGTGAAATGAGGATGACTATAACAAATAATGACTCCCACACAATAATATAGTAATAATATTATGACAATGAGAATATAACTATACATTATCATACATATATTATAACTAATAACGATGATTTAAGATGACAATAATAGGTTATTGTTAGATTTTTGATGCAGAAAAGTAAAAACAACTTTTTTGTTACGTGACACGAGCAGTTATGTGATAATCTGAGATATAGTATGGGATAATGTGATAGATAGAAATGAGGTAATGTAAGATTGAAAATGAGGATAACTCTAACAAATAAACAAATAATTACAACTATATATACATCAATAATATAGTAATAATACTAAAACAATGATAATATAACTATATATACGTAAACATATATCAGACATAATAATCACCTCGGCAATGAACACGATAATGAGCGTTGTCTGCTTGTCGTCAGCTGTCATGGCATCGAGGAGTGACTGCAGTGTCTCTAGGAGGTAGTTCTTCACTTGCCGCTGTATGGTCGGTATCCCGATCACCAGGGATACTTAAACACACCACCACCACAGTTACACACATTGAACACAAGCACTGTAAACTGGCGCTAAAGATCATAGACCATCCTAATCAATGGCATACCTGATATGGATGCAAGACACTGAATAGATGCAAGACACCGAATAGATGAAAGACCAACGATCGATCATGCGCTTTCACCTTACCTCCGGTCCTTCCACGAGACAAGCTAAATGAGGGCAAGAGACTTTCATTGTGTTGCAGCAGGTGTGGCAGGTGGCTGTAGATGCTAGGCAGCACCAACTGATCAGATCCTAAATAAGAAGACAGTGACAGCCGAACCCAGTAGAATACACACCGGTGGAGCAAGTTTATAGAATACACAGTATGGCAGCGAGCTCTATAGAATGTATGTAATATGGAGGAAGAGGGGTATACATAAGAAGTACAACATCGAGGGAGAGGAATATATAATATGATCTATACAGAACACTGTGCACACACCTTGCATGACTGATAAGGTGATGTTGCCCATCGTGATGGTGTTATTGTCGCCAACGCTACTCTTGCCGCCGTCCACCATGAGGCTGAGTCGCTGCTGCAAGCCGAGGATCTGCTTCTGTCGGTTCTGCAGCAGCATCTCGGCATACTGCAGCCGCTCTCTCAGCTCGACCCCACCCTGCTCCAGGTGCAGCTTCAGCAGGGCCTCTGCGAACAAACCCACAACACATCTGCATCACATAACGCTAACGTACGTAGTACAACCAATTTGCTGTCTTCTATTCGCTACTTTGCTTTTTGTGGTTAAAGTAATCACAGGCATGAGTCTGGGAAGTGGTGACCACGGCCATATACGTTCATACATACACATTCTCTCCAATTATACAGCACAATGTGATCATCAGAGAAAGAAGTGATGCATATCTTAATGTGTCTTTTCTCATGCTCCACTTCCCATTTAGTTTTGTATAGCTAGTGCACAAAATACCTCTCATTAGAGATCACTGTACCATACGCTTTTTCAAATTGTTTTTGAGAAACTCAAATATGTAATTCTTGACAGAAAGCTAAAGATCAATTTTAATTACTGGAATTATTTGTTTACCTATCTTGGGAAATTGGATTTTAACAATATTTCACTAATGAATCTGAGCGAGCACATGCCCAATCCATTTTGAGTAATAACAAGAGCCGCAGAGCGTCTGGGCTCATCTGAGGTCCGTTGCTAAGGTTATAAACGTAACCAGGAGCGTATAATGACAAAGGAGTAAGACACCGATTTGGTACTGATTTCACTACTTTTTTTCGTACGAGTTCGATGTGAATAAAAATACAAATGTATACAAACATGAGCTTCTTTTGTTCCCTGGTCCTTATTCTATTTTCCGGTAGTATTACAAACCGCATAGCTTCCTTCGTTTTGACATAATTCGTACTTTTCCACGACATGGTTTTCACGTTAGTTACCGTATTCTGGCGAGGCCACCCTCTAAATTCGCACACACAGCTCTTGAATGAGCCACGGCAGGGATCGCGTTAGGCAGCGCCTGCAGCAACTGTACGCAGGCTAGAGATAACGGTTGCTATGCAATTAATGCAAAACACATGTGCGAAAAGCTACAATCGGCTGGAACGTCAGTTTACTCATAACGATTCATACACATCATTCCTCCGCGGGTGAAGTAGTTCAGATATTTTACCAGCGCAGCGTTTATTTAAAAAAAAACTGCGGGATTAAACCATAAAAACAAGGCATTCTAACTATAGTTTAAATGTAAAATAGTTTTAATTTTTAAACCCAGCATGGGTGCAACCAGGGAACAATTTTCAGCCAAAAATGTGCATAGCAAATGTGCGATACAAAATAAATTTTGCATAGCAATTGGATAAATTTGTATAGCATTTTCAGACAATCACAGTGCAAATTTACACCGCAGTGCATGCTTGGCGTGTTATCGTGTCGGCCTGTGACAGGCACAGCTAGCTTAAGCCTAGGACACACTAGCGATTCTGTATGCTGCCCGGCAGCGTTTAAACAGCGTGCGAGCTTGACACGCCCGCTCGCCAATGTCGAGTGAAAATAATATCGGGCCGGGCGAGTGAAAGCTAAAGCTGACTCGCCCATGTTGGCAAGTAAAAATAATTGTCTACAACTTTAATCAAATGTTGGTTCCTTACGTTATATATCCAAACATTGATGAAATACAGTTCTAGCGATTGTGAATGTGAAGGGCAGCTATCCGACTCCTCGACCACGACATCACATCCTCACTTTATATTATCAAAGGTCGCCGAAGAAAGCAGCCCGCGAGAGCGTGCAGCGCCAGCACAGCGTGGCTGTGTATACGTGCCTGGGGCGGCATATTGATTGATGTACGGGGAGGGGGGGGGAGTGCAGGATTGTTTAAAAGTCACGTTGGCCTTGGTGTTAACAAGTCAATAAAATCGGCGTAACGTGGCATTTCATTGACGGGGCAAAGCAGCCCGAGAATAAAAGTAAATTGTAAACATGTATGTTTCCGTTTACATCTCGCATGGGCTGCATCGCACAACTGCGATTCATAAAAAAATATGCGTAGCAAATGGCTGAAAATACATCGCGAATTGCGATGCGATACCGGGAAAATTATTCCCTGGGTGCAACGTAACTTAATTTCTAGGCGAATTTTCTGCACTCGACTAGGCTACGGCCGAAAAGCCCTGCCGTGGCTCATTCCCCCTCCGTTTACACATCTTGACCTTTGACCCTTGACCCCCAAATTTGTCATCCCGAGTCCTTTTCACGATCCCCCCAACGTCCCGAATATCGTGACCGTATGTCGAGCGGTTAAGATTTGTGCCCAACTGTTGATGGACGGACGGACGGACGGACGGACGGACGCACGCACGGACGGATGGACAATCATGCGATTCTACAAGCTGCATCCGACTTCGTCAGATGAGCTAAAAAGAGATTGTTACTGTATGATTTTAATTTTTAAGATAACTTAGCTAATTTGAAATACCACTTTAATGTACTGACATGGGTAGATACTTGCAAATTGCAAACAAACAGCTTTATAGGTTGAAAACGTGTGCATGCGCATGTATGAAATCAGTGTAATTACATGATACGCGTGCGTGCATGTGTATGTAATGCATTGGTACGTGTAGGCGTCCGTGCATGCTGTCATAATCGTGTTCGTGCACATGCCTGCACACGTGTCTGTGCATACGGGTACACATAGAGAACGTGTATGGATTTTGCTGATCGATCGCACATTTCGGCACACACCAAGGACGTGACAATCCAAACAACAGTAATACCAATACTACGCATAACGCTCATAGGGTCTATGTCCCCCAGGGTACTGCCGGAACGTACCCTGGGTACAGTCCGGTATACCGGAACGTACCCTGGTCACTATTTGATATGGTTAGGGTTAGGATTAGGGTTAGGATTAGGTTTAGGGTTAGGGTTAGAGTTAGGGTTAGGGAGTAGGCGTAGGCGACTCCCTAGACTCGTTAGTGAAGTAGGCGAGGTATGGTCCGGCATATTAGATAGTACCAGGGTACGTTCCGGCAGTACACCGGGGGACATAGACCCTCTCAGCACTAATAACAGAGCCTATATCTACAGGTTTGTTCTCAAATGTACGTAGTTGGTAAGAAAAGTACAATGTAATAAGTAGGCAGTATAGTATATTATCCAGTATTGATATGGTATAAGACCTACATGAACAACATAGAAAATATGGTCATCAGACCATGCACTTTACTATTACATGTAACTAGTTCATCATATGCTTTTTATATAATTATAAGGTGTATTAATATGATTATAACTATAAGGTGCGTCTACAATTCACCAGGCAATGATGTTACAGAATCCTGCAGCACACTGATCAATAACGTCCTGGCACATATACACGGGAAGGGGGTAGAGACTTCCTTAATTCGATCTAACACAGGTAGCTGAAATCACGCTGTAAACTGACTCGCAAATCATTTAAAGAACAAATAGCGTGTGACGACATCAGGGCTATTACTGTAAAACCGAGAATTCAACTGAGCCGCAATAAATTAACTGCAAATTGATCCACGGACTCACCATATCCTGCGTAGGAGTGAAGATGGAACAAGAATTTACAATTTCTCGTAAAAGAAAGAAAGAGAGTGAGAGAGGGGAGGGAGGGAGAATTGGCGAAAGGGAGACAGGGAGAGGGAGAGGGAGAGGGAGAGGGCGAGGGAGAGGCAGATAGAGGAAAGGGAAAGAGGGAGAGGGAGAGGGAGAAGGAGAGAGAGAGGGAGAGTAGGCAAGAGGGAGAAGGGAGAGGCAATTTTGGAGGTAGAGGGACGAGGGAGAGGGAGAGGGAGAGGGAGAGGGAGAGGGAGAGGGAGAGGGAGAGGGAGAGGGAGAGGGAGAGTGATAAGAAATGACATACAATTTCCTACGTAAGAGAGGTGGTATTGTTGTGCCCAAACTTGGAATCTTGCACAAACTTGGAATTTCAGCGCATCCGCAGTTTGTGCAACCAATCTTGAGATTGGGCAAACAGAGGTAAACAGAGCTTGCACAAACATATGATTATTAGGATTTTAAATGTTATATCATAACTATAAGGTCGTATATACCTTCTTTCCTCAATGTGTTTGGCACCTAGATATTAAATGATTATAATAAATAATTGGGTAAATATGAGTTAATCTCTTCTTAGTTTGCACCATGCACACCACACACTCGCTATGAGCGGTTGTTGAATCACCGACTGTTTTCAGTTTGCCCAATCTTGAGATTGGTCAGCCAAACTAGGGAATCCGCAGTTTGGGCAGCACAATCGCTGCCCAATCTCGAGATTGTGCACATTCCAAGTTTGGGTACGACAGTATGACCTAGCTGACCATTTCCCACGTTTACAAGAGAAGCAGTGTGATCTAACAATTTCCAGTATGAGAAGCAGGTGCAACCTTACTATATCCACGTAATAGAAGCAGTATGATCCATAGTGTTGTCAATCGGTTGTAATTTCGTAATCGATCATCGGTTGGACCCATGGTAACCGATGATCGGTTACAATCGGTTACTCGGGATGTTGAATGCCTGCGTGTGCATAACGTCGTGTGCATGTACGTGTGTGCATGTATACATGTGCTTGTTTAGCCCTGTTTACTGTTTGTTTTGCACTGTTTACTACTGTGTGTATAATACATGTATGTTAATAAAGGATAACTTGTATAGTAGCGATGGTATCTCTGATTCTCATCACTTTTCCAAGTTTTCTTGTTCAAGCGCTTGGTTCGAGCCACTGTTCAACCGATGATCGAGTATAATCGATGATCGTGACATCACTAGGCGCTTGGTTCGAGCCACTGTTCAACCGATGATCGAGTATAATCGATGATCGTGACATCACTAATGATCAAACATTTCCCACGTAATAGATGCAGTGTGATCAAACATTTCCCACGTAAGAGAATGCAGTGTAGAATTGCCAACCCAGCATATGAGGCAGCATGAAGGTATGTACAATTTCTAGCACAAGAGAAGCAGCAAGGAATTAACATTTCCTATCTAGGAGCGGCCGTCAGGACTTGCCATTTACGATATAACCAGCAGGAATTTAACATTTCCTTGCGTAATGAGGCAGCAAGCACTTAAATTAACAGCTTTCCACACAAGGTAAGCATGCAGGATTCAACATCTACAGCATAAGTGAGGCGAAGAAGACTTACCGTTGCCGGCGTAAGAGTAGAGGAGGAGCCATGTCAGGGCGCCCAGCACGACGAGGGCCAGCATGGAAGCGCGCACGTGTGACCTCCACAGCGAAAGCCTCATGCGCAACATTCGCATTGCTCTCACGCCGACACCTGGACGCGGGCGCGCGTCGACACTACAGGTGCGTGGCCCGCTCGCCGATTCCTGTCGACAGAAACAACGCGCGCAGATCAATAAGTATGCTGTGGGTCATGCACGCCCCCCCCCACCCCCACTGAGCCTTCGCCTCACTCATGAATGCAGTGCGGACATGAGCGCACACGATGGCCAGTTTGACATGGAGATACTGTAGAAAAAAAAAAATACTGAACTCCGAAAAGAAGTAATGATTACACTACTTCTAGGGGTGCACCGGATCCCCAATTTTTCAAAGTTACGGTTCCGGCCGGAACCCTTCAGGAACAGTCGGCCGGAACCGGAACTTTTTCCTAATTTCATTTCTGCTACAAGCGTCATCAAGATCAAAAGATCAGTCACTGAATGTAGTTGAGCATCAATAGAGTCAACTTGCTGACAATATAGTGTTAACAACTTCACACTATTCTTCCCAGAAAACGTTTGCCACTTGAACATCGGCTAACTAACTGATGTTAGGTGATTCACGAGATTTTATTTTAAAATAAAATACTCTTAGAGCCACAGGAATGGCATCTGTTTGTTAGTTGAAAATAATCGACTAAAACAAGGAATACTGCAACATGCAGGTTTTGCCACACAATTCGCTCGCGAATAAGATGCCAGAATTATGCACTGTAAGCAGATGATTCATACACCTAACAACCATCCTGTAATTAGAACTTTGTAGCATTGAGAACAATGAGAACAATGTAGAATGTGAAGATGTATATAATGAGAACATGAGAACATGAGAACATGTGACATAATGAGAACATGTAGAACAATGAGCATTGTCCTACTCGCCTGAGTGATGTGCCTGCTAATAATAGGCGTGTTCACACACAAGAAAAACCGCGATGCTAATCGCGATGGAAATACCGAGATAATTGTGTCGTTGTTCACACAGGCGGAAATATCTCGCTAATCGCCGAGCGGGATAATTCTATTAATCGAACTGCGCATGCTCACTGCCGGAATGATGCTCACTGCGCATGCTCACTGCTCACTCGCTTGGAATGATGGGATAGAAAATACCGGGATTATTTGCGCGAGCGTTCACACACGCAAATAATCGCGCTAATTCCAAAGCGAGCGTTCACACACGCAAATAATCGCACTAATTCCAAATAATCGCAGTCAAAAGTGCGATTTGGAGCGCGATGCTGATCGCGATTATTAGTGAGATTATTGCGTTCACACTTGTAATAATCTCAGTATTTCGATCGCGATGCAAAAACCGGGATTTGCATCCCGCTAATTCGCGCCAGTGTGAACGCGCCTAATGTTTCGTTCAGGCCGAGTGAGTTTGCGCAATACTGGGCCAATTAAAACTGTCAAGTTTATTCCCAGCCGGAACCGGAACTTTTTTCAAGTTCCGGCTGGTTCTGGTTCCGGCCGAAACTTAAAAAGTTGGATCCGGTGCACCCCTAACTACTTCCAAGAAAATAATCTAATTTATTGGATAAAATTACTCTTAATGTCTGGTAAATGTAATCATCCCAACCACCTGTCTCGTGAAAATATCTCCCGAATTTATACCTGAATCCAACTGAGTTTTAACTGAATTGACTAAAATGGGTATTTTATGGAATAAATTGTACCTAACACTGATACCAGCTTGGCCTGGTATTCGGCATCATCAGCTACTGACGGAATTATAGGGGCCATGGATAATAATTTAAAAAAGATATATAATACGTCTTTGCACTGCGCTATCCTCTTGATTTTTATAATACAATTAACTCTTTTTTAGAATCAGGTACTTTAGGTGAAAACCAGAAAAAACTGATTACAATAATGTACTTAAAAACCATCAGTACAGGATTAGTATTAGAGTCAAAGTATTTGGTTGGCTCTCCCCTCATTAGCCAGCTTCAAATGCAAGTACAGCAAGCAAGTTACACAGGGCTTGTGCACTAGGCACGTGCGTGGGTGCGCGTGTGTATACGTGTTTGCATGCTGCTTGCATGTGTAAGCAACGAAAACACTTTCAATAATCGAAGCTAATTCTTCAGACATCCACTGTTATGCAAACGACTCTCAACCTTACAGCTGTTTCACGTCTGATTCTATTTCCACTAGCCAGTAAAAGAGCATTAACTGCAATGGGAAGCTGTATTCCTACTGTCCGGCAACGGATGCTGGCTAATCAGCTACTGATTAATCATGAAACAACATGTGACACTCACATCACAGGTACCGGACAGAAACTATCAAAATTGATCATATCACTTAACTGATCATATCACATAACTGTAACGGGAACTGCAACATTGTTCTAATGTTAATAGCCAGAGATTTAGGCTTCTTGAAATGACTACATTAAAAGTAACTTAATGGTACAATCTGTAATCTGAATGTTGAATAAGCCACTAAATCTAAAACAGTGACTACTCCTACTCCAACCAAGACATATTCGATATGACCAGTCACTAGAATCCTAGTTTACTAAAAAGCCGTTAACATAGCATGTGAAATAATGTTTACAAATATAAGCCCAATTATTGCATTTGCACATTTGGGATGAGTTCTATTCATTGGTATATATATATGTAAGAGTATATTTGGTCAGTTATAAATTTACTATAAAAGTAAGTAGAATATTTCTGGTAGGCACTGGAGGTATCACAAAGGGTGCATGTTTTATAAATTACCTTTTTTAATGCACATGTGGCATGAGAACATGTTTTTGAGTCATGTTTTTTATGTAATATGTTCAGTATAAGTCAATAAATCATTATTATTATTACTAGTAACAATTAATAAGTTGTTTGTGTACAGCTCAAGTTGGCTGAGTGACATACCCAAATCTATGGCTGCTCAAGCTAGGGCCTGAAGTACTCATGAATCCGATCATGAGCTGTACATGCTCTATCACATATTAATTTATTAATATTATATTCACTTGTGCAGCATTCTCACCAAGCACTACATTGCAAACTGTTGATGCCACAACGTGTCAGGTTTTCTAGGAATTAATAATGCCAGCTAGGGGCCCGTAGTCAGAAACATGGCAAATAAGGCTATAATGATAATGCTTAGATAGCACTTACGACTAATGTTAACCGTTACCCCCTTGGACTAAATTTGTTTCTGGCAACGGGTCTCAGAACAGCAGACCTACTGAGTACTCTACATCTACTACAACAGAGACTTACCAATGTTTAAAAAAGTATCAATGCATCAACCTGAAAACAGATAGAAACAGATTGCATGAGAAGAGAATATATTGCAGGCACAACGAAGAGATAATACTAAATAGTATAATAAGAAATCACAATAATGAAGCATGGTGTTGTGAAAATGACATGCCTCCACTAAATCACTTTGTAAGATATGGTAATTGTTCGGGGCATACAGTGTATGTGCAATCTGTACTGTTGTTCTAGGACGAGTATTAATACCAGCGCTGCATACTGAACAGAACATAAATAAACTTGCACAGTGAAGTCTCAAAGGATTTGTTTCAAAATGATTGCTCAAAAACGCACAATCTGAAAAAGATTTGGTGAAATATGGTCTCACTTCACAGCAGATATGTTACTCATTACACCAACCAGGGGCGGATCCAGGGCTGAAGCTACAGTATTTTTCCAGATTTTAAGGGCCAAAATGGGCACACCACCCCACAGTGGGCGCCGTTAAGGCCTGTGTACACTGTCAACATTTTTGGTAACATGTTGACAATGTAAGGTAACATCCTGGGCAACATAAATTTTGACCCTGTGTACACTGGGTAACATTTGGCCAACATGTTATCGAGATGTTACCGAAAAATGAGCAGGAATGAGGATTTCTAGGTCAGATTTTGGAGGGAAAATCATAAAAATGGAAGATTCGAAGAGGAAGTAAGATGTCTTGTCAGTGCTTCTGCTGCAATTTTGATGTTCATAGTTGACAGACGGAAGAGAAGACGTAACGAAAGAAAACGAGTGTGGACAAAGCCCTGGATCACCCTGAGGGAGCAGCATGGGGCTTACAACTGTCTCCTGAAGGAATTAAGACTGGGGGACAAGCCCTCATATAAGAGTTGCAGGGCAGACTTCTTTTTATTCTTATCTTTGTACTGCTGTGATGTTACATCCCACAAAAAGGTACAGCCTTCCCATAATTCAATTAACTTGTTCTCTTTCTCTTTGGTCCATTCTATGGTGGTTGCCATTTTGTTCAAATCACATGACCACATGTAGATCAGGTGATTTAGAGCCTATTTCTGATTGGTTAAACCTCGTCAACATCTGGTAACATAAATGCATCTGCATTCTTTCATCAACATCTCAGTAACATTTTGGGTAACATGTTACCGAACTTTTTTACTCTGTGTACACTGTCAACAGTTTCGGCAACAAGGTACCTGGTCAATATGTTACCGAGAATGTTACCAAAAATGTTGACAGTGTATACACAGGCCTTTACGCGCGGAAGCACATGGCGGGGGGTCTGGAGAAATTCAAGGGTCCCTGGGCACAAAAATGAGCACCATTTGAGCACACATTTAGTCAAGCAGCAATAGCTAAAAACCATATGGAATTTTATTTCTGCATTTTGCATGCGCTTTGCATACCAGCAACTAATGCAGAATGATTCAAGCACTTCCCTTCTTTTTCAGATATCAAAGCAAGTTTTGTTGTAACATGTGCTGTGCAGATGTACATTAGTAAGCTTATAAATTGGGTAGAGTCAGGTAGTTAGCATGTAGTTTATAACTAGGTTGAGTGGGCGAGTAGACAAGCGTGGTTAGGTTAGGCAGTTTCACGGGTGGTTGTGAACAGTGAAAAAAATACACGGGGGCTCGGGGCGATTTACAGATCGAGTGGAGAGAGATGGTAGGAGTCGGGAGTCGAGTTGTGACCAGGGAAGCGAGCACACGCGCGTACGCGCGTGTGTGCATTTCTTTGTGTCTTGGTTTGGGGTTGGACTGAAGAACAAGACGGGAACGGACGTGTACGAGAAGCCGCTTGTATATTTGTAAACAATATATTTCTTTAGTGAACACAAATACTATACTTCTTGATTCTTTTAATTTAAACTATTTCATTTAAACCTTGTAGAGACCTTGTAAAGACCTACGTTACATTGTTACCATGTAAAATTTTGATTTCCTTCAAGTCCTGTCAATGAATCAGAAGAAAAAGAAAACAAATAAAGAATATAGCCAAATTCTATCAAATTGTTTTCTGTATTTTTTAGCGCAAAATTTCGAAGGGCACTTTAAAATCTAGACCGAATTTCCCAATACGGCAAATACGGTCTGAATCCGCCCCTGCCAACTTGAAAAACACTACGAATTTATGCAGTTATAGCATAGAAAATTGGGTTCGAATACATCGTAACACCATGGCATAATTTGATTATAGCGACAAATTATTTGCAAATATGGCATGTTGTGAAAGTGGAGAAAACGCGAGACTGGTTGGGAATTATGTTCGAAATAAATACTATTCACCTACTTGCACCCTTCACTAGAGTGGCTAAACTGCCCACTGTGGCTCTTCAGCCCCAGAATACACCGAATTGAGGTTGATATTCTTTTAGGGCTAGTAGATTCTATCAGGAGTAGATAATAGAGAACCCCTAATATCCTGGGATAATAGAGATTCCCTATTATCTACTCCTGATTCTATATATATCCCTAGCCCTGCTAGCTAGTGAACATTTTAGGTTAGTGTCCTATTACTGGATTTTATAAGCCCTGTTATGATCATTCATTTCATCAGGGGTGAATAATAATAGACTATTGTTATTCACTCTTGATTTTATGGCAAGTTGTGATGCACTTGTGTTTCATCGGAAACCATTTCATCAACAGAGACAGTTACAATGTAAACATCAGATTCACACCTATTATTATACTGACAATTATGATAATCACTGTGTAACATCATTCTGTATGCCCTGTCTGCTTGTTGTGCAGCCATTTCTTACTACACGATATATTCATACACACATAACGGACTGCTAATTTAGTCAATCTAGAACTATCTGGTTTGACTACTGGAATGATTTGCACCTTAAATGCTTTCACACATCCCAGCTTTGTGATAAACATTTTATACGAGGTGCGCGCAATATAAGCTTACATCTCCTATAATTGTTGGTCAATGAAATGTGTACCGGCTGCTTCAACTTTTCATGGCTCACAAGCCTCACGCATTTGGCGTGAGACTCACGCAATTCAGCACAATCTCACGCTCTCACACACATTTCTGATAGTCCCCGAAAATCTCACGCAATTGCAAGAATCCAGTTTTTCTTCGTTGCGTGGAGTGGGTCTAGCCGAACTTTGCCGAAAAACGCAGGACAGAAGGCACGGAAATCTCGACATTTATTACTTGTGGTGCACCCAGCGATGACAATGACTATGATTTTTGTACATTGTATGTTTTTTCATGCTTATATATATAAGAACAAGAGCCCATTAACCCCAGAGCGTACAACGCTCAAATATGGTGTCGTTTCAGCAAAATTAATAAAGTTTACCTACCTTATTTTGATACTTCTCTACCAGAATATTATGCAGGAGTCATAGCTAACCAATATAAGATCAACCGCTTGTCTCTACGATGTTCCTATGCCGAGATATAAAGCGATCCAAATCCCCCACTAGTCCCCTTTGCGTACAGTACCCAGTTATAGTTATTGTATCCCCCGAACGAAGTTCGTGGGGATACTATGGATTTGGCATCGTCGCGCCGCCGCCGCCGCCGCCGCCGCCGCCTCCGCCTCCG